GCACTGATTTTGGCAAGGGAAGGGTAGAAAATGAGAAGTGTGTGAAGTGCATTTCCAGGGAGAGCTTGAGTGATGTCTGCCATGGAAATTCTGCAAAGTGGAGACATAGTGCGTGGAGGCTGGAATCACTTAGCAGTGAGGAGAGACCCATGCCAGCAACTGGAGAAACAGCACACCCAGAGAGAAAGGTGGGAGCAGACTGGGACAGCCCATCACTGCCGACATTGGCTGACACAGAGCACTGACTCTGGGTTTGGACTGTAGCCAGAGTTGGGGGCAGGGAAGGATTCTGGTGGAATATTGTGAAAGAGGAGCATGCTTCCTCCCCTCTCAAGGTCTGGCTCAGCAGGGAGAAGGTGCTATTTTGAAGAGGGCCCAGACCAGCAGGGAGAGACCACCACAATAAGACAAAGTCACAGTGGCTGGAGTGTGCTATTGGCTCTGCCTGGGCACACACAATTAGGGGATGCGGCTGAAGGGATAATTCTGCATTCCTAGTGATTTAGGCCTGGCTGGGAGTTGTGCACACTTCTGGGGCTAAGAGGTGTGCGCCCACTGCCACCCTTCTATAGGATCCAAGGCGAAAGCTGTCAAGGCAGAACATACACAGGTAGCTGGTATCTAGAACAGCTCTGTTCTCTTTGTGGTCAGAGAAGGCTTGTGGGGTGAAGTGGATCCTTAGCATCTTGTGACTATGGGAGCAATGTGTACAAAGACTGTGGGAATTCTGTGAACGTGAGGAAGTGTATGGTGTGTAGGTGGGTTTCTGGACAAAGAATTGCATGAATCTTCCATGTGGTGCAGGCACTGTTTGGGGTGAGGGTTGTAGTCACTTTAGGCTAACCTTGATTGTTGATCACTTTGAAACACAGATTGTGAGAATGTAATTACACTAACAGTTATAAACATTGCCTCCTCGTGCTGACAAAAGAGGATACTCACAAGTCAATCTTGGGTGTCACCTGGAACTCATACCCCACAGTCACTGACCAGCATATTCTGGCCAGATCCAGAACCCGTCTCCAGATATCCATTGGAGGAACAGTCATTCCACCAAGCCACAGAGGCACAGCTCAAAGATAAAAACCATCAGAGGCAAAAACTAGCAAGTGCTTCCAGAAATGCCCAAAACAGATTCAGAAATATAGGAAGCAAAAACAAGACATGTGACTCTCCAATAAACACAACTCTGCAATATTAGAATACAAAGAGCGGGAGACTGATGAAATGCAGGGAAATGAATGGGAAAAAATAATCACAGTATTGAAAAGCACACAGAAACAAATAACTGAGATATAGAAATCCATACATGATATGTATAAAAACTTGGCAATGGGATTAACATTTTGAAGAGAAAACAAAGGGGAATATTAGAAATACAGAATTCAATGTGAGAAATACAAAAGTACAGTGCTCAAGATTTATGTGACACCTTCAAGTGTGGGACAAAGAATAGAATAGAAGGCATATTCAGCAAAATACAGAAGAAAACATCCTCTAATGTGTAGAAAGAAAGGCACATCCAAGTATAGGAAGCACACAGAACTTCTGATAGTCATGATCAGAAATGAACTTCACCATGAAACATTACAGTCAAACCTTCAACAGTAAAGCCTAAAGGAAAGAGTCTAAAATGAGAGCAATGCCAGGTCACCTTCACGGGGCTCCAATTACACTAACAGCTGATTTCTCATCAGAAATCCTACAGGCTAGAAGAGAATAAACATAGTATAGGTACTAGAAGAAAATGCCAACCAAGAATACTGTATTCAGCAATGCTTCCATTTATAAAACGTAAAATAATGACCTTCCAAAACAAACAGAAATAAACAATTTGCCACCACCATCTGCAGAAACAGAGAATAGAAGATGAAAGCTAAATAACCAAAGAATGTAAAGGTAGGAAATCTCCTAGTGAAGTATACGGAGAGTCCAAAGCAAACAATGAGACTATTTAAGGGAAAATGGTAGGATAAAAGTTTTACCTCTCAAATCTCCAATCAAAAGACAGAAATTGGCTGACTGGATTAAAAAAACCCATTTATTTGCTATCTGCAAGAAATACATCTCACCAACAAAAATAAACACATAGTGCAAATGAAAGGATGGAAAAAGATTGACATATCCCATGTCAATCTGAAGGAAAAATGATCAGCTGTACCTATTTCAGACAAAATAGACTTTAACACAAAAACTGCTAAAAGATATGGAGAACATCACATAATGATTAAAAGCTAGAGTCAACACGAGTGACTGTATTAAATGTGTATGTGCCTATTATTTAAAAAATTGCTAATGGATCTAAAGGAAGATAGAGACTCTAATAGAATAATAATGTGGATTCAATACCCCACCCTCATAAATGGACGGATCAATTAGAAAATCAACAAAGAAGCAACAAAGCTAATTATTCTATGAACCAAATGGACTTAACTGATAGCTGCAGAATGTTTCATCTCACAGTTTCAGAATACACATTTTTTTTTTCATCAATGCATGGAACTTACTCTAGAACAGACCACATGCTATGCCATAAAGCAAGCCTAAGTAAATTAAAAAAACTGACATCATACCATGTACCTTTTCTGACCATAATGGAATAAAGCAGAAATTAGTTGCTCAAGAAATTCTAGAAAATATGTAAATACATGAAGATTGAATAATATGCTGAGTGGGTCATAAAAGAAATCAAAAGGGAAATAAAAAATTCACAGGAAGTGGTGAAGATGATAGTACAACATTTCAAAAATTAGAGTATACTGCAAAACTAGTGTTAAGAGTTCATAGTAATTAGTGTGTATATCAAGCAATCAGAAAGGCATCAAATACTGCATCTCAATGACCTAGAAAAACAATAACAAACCAAACCTAAAGTTAAAAGAAAATGAAAATTAGATAAGAAACAAATAAATCTGAAACAAAAAAGATACAGAAAATCAGTGAATTGAAGAGCTACTTTTATGAAAGCAAAAACAAAAAATTGATACGTCATTTGCCCAACTAAAGAGAGACAGAGGGAGAAAAGGACACAGATAAATAAAATCAGAGAATAAAAATATATAAGACAGACAGCATAGATATACAAATCATCATCAAGAATTAGTACAAACGGCCATATGACAACAAACTGGAAAATACAGAAGACATAGGTAGGTTTCTGGATACATACAATCTACTAATATTGAGTCTTGGAGACATAGAAAACCTAATTAAACCAATCATCAAGGTGGAGACTGAATCGGTGATGAAGACCTCTACAAAGAGAAGCCCAGGGACAGATGGCTTCACTGCTGAATTCTACCAATCTTTTAGAAAAGAACCACTTTCTAAAATATGATTGCTATTAAGCTATAATTCCTCAAGGGCAGGGTCAATATTTGTTGCAACTTCATATCTTCAATAATATTTGGCTTAAAACTCATAGAAGGTGCAAGAGTGAATATATTACTTTCTTATAACTTCCTGTGCCCCATGGGCCAGCAAGGATCCTGATATGGGAGTTTATTAGAAATGCAAAATTTATGCATCCAAGATTTGCTAAATCATACCCAGCATTTTTTCAGTAAGACCTTCAGATGATTCATTCATGTAAGACTGCAGTCAATACATAATGACAGTATGACTACATAATGAATAACCAAATTGCATTGTTTTTCTCAATTCTAATCACTCCCTCGTTAATCCAGGTGGGATTGTCATTGACTACTGTCCCACACAACTCCAAAGTCTTTGCTACAACTCATTTCTTCCTTACTCTACCTCTGCATCTTAAACCATTCATTCTGGATCGCTTGAAAACACAACACTCTGTACCTGTATCTGCATCAATGGATTTTCAAAAAAAATTTGTTCTTAATTTGATGTATGGCATCACTATCAGAGAAAAGAGTTTGTATAATACCAGAGATTTGCAGTCTTTGAATTGTTATACTTGCTTACAGTTTGGTTGTTCCTTATGGTGTTTTCAAGTATGTTTTGGTGTTAACTGTAATGTCAACATTATTAGGAAATGGTTACTACAGAATAACAGTGTGGATGTCAGACAGTTAAATATTAGTATCTGGGAGCAGTGCTGTGGTACACTGGGTTAACCTAAAATCTGCAGTGTCAACATCCGGTTGGGGCAGAGTCTTCAAAATCCCCTCTGGGTCTCAGGAAAGCCCTCTTTTGAAGGAAAGCAGGATGCACGCATGGTGACCCTTACTCAGGGATGAGGTGTTACTAAGGCAGAAAGAGGTAATTACATGTGATGATACCTCAAGGCATCAAGCAACTACAAGGCCAAATTATTCCCTAGTTTTTGTGCCTACCAGGCTAATGTTGGAATATTATTACAGGCAATAATATCCGGTGAGAGACAGCTGAGATCACAAAGTGCAAGATTTGTTTTTGATCACATGTGAAACACTTGCTAGAAATTCACAGAAATTCTTGGGTCATTTTAGAGGGAGCTGAGTTAATTTAGTAAGTGTGAAGAATGGGCTCTCATGGATGGAGGCAGCAGTCAATGCGCTGCCCTTTGTACTTTCAAGCGGGCGAAGGCGAAGCTGGATCACTTGGATTCCATAAGGATAAAAAAATCAATACAAAAATCATAGAAAACAACTGCACCTAAGCTTCAAAAAATCAGGGTATGCTAATTTTGAAAATTTCTCTTACTCTTCCCCTATATGTTTTCTTTCTTAAAACAAGTGAAAGTATGGAGACAAGTAACAATAACACCTTTATTTTTCCTGGGATAAAACCAACACTATCAAAATCATCTCTGTGGACTTTCATATTTAGGGGAGAAAAATAATTTCTTCTATTGTAACAGACACTTCAAGAATATGTCAATCACTAAAGTATATACACACACATATAATTCTTAGCTTCTGAAGAATGAAATAAGTGAAAATTGTAGCATTAAATTTCTCTTTGGCAGCAAATTCACCTAGTTAGCACTCCAAAAACTCACAGTTGTACAGGAAAATCTTTTCAAAATCCAATCCGCTACTTACTTGTCTCCCACAATTCCCAAGTTGATTGTGGGGTAACCGTGTTCCTGAATTGTTGCTAGAAGGGTTGAACGATTGCTGTCTCGAATCTTTCCTGGTAAGAGGTCATCTTCAGGATTTAGCAACTACAAGGCCAAAAACCACAAGTTACTTTCTTAGGATAACATTTCCTGAGGTGAATGGGAAGAAAAAAAAATCAATCTTGTGAGTAGAATGTAGTATATCCAGCATCTACAATAGTATCTGACATATACAGGTTATATGCTCAAAGCACAGGATGATGCGAAAATGTTCCCCAAGAATTCAGAAAACATGTAGAAAATTGTAATTAACCACTCCAGACCCAAACATATATTAATAGCTAAAGCTCCTAATTCTAGGCATTTGTTATATTGTTTGAATTTTTTAAAATGATGCATATATTTTTATTGGAAAGGTAGATTCACATGGAGGAAGAGAGACAGTGAGAAAGATCTTCAGCAATCTGCTGGTTTCTTCCCCAAACGGGGAAGCTGAGCCAAACCAAAGCCAGCAGCTAGAATTCACAGGGTCCCAGGGCTTTAGATCATTCCCCTCTGCTTTCCCAGGCCGCAGGTAGGGAGCTGCGTGAGAAGTGGAACAGCTGGGACATGTCATATGGGATGACGGTGCTTGGAAGGGGAGGGTTAGCCAGTTGAGCTATTGTGCCAGGCCCATATTGTACCAATTTTTTAAAAAAGTCTTTTTAATTGGCTGCCTTCATGAAAATTGCTTCTGAGAAATAAGAAGCATAAAAATATAAGGTGAGGAAAGTAGTGAATTAGGAAACTGTTAATAATTCACACATTTGGGGAAAGAGTGAGCCACATAAGAACGGGAGAGAGAAATCAAAAATCAGATGCTTGGAAGCAGCGAAGCAGCGTGCCCGGGGCACACCAAAGGCAGGAACTAAAGCTTAACACGTGAGAGAGCCAGGCTACAAAGCATGGAGATGATGGGACCAGTTCGGGTTTTTTGCTTTTTTTGTTGTTGTTGTTGTTATTTTTTACTTTCTATTTTCTTTTTTGTATTTTAACTGTAAAAAGATTCAGGCATTATTCTCAAGGTGGCTTGATAAGAGAAAATAGGATTCACTTGTAAAAGCTAGATGAAATTTTTCTGGTATATTCAACCTCATAATCTTCCATTCAATGATTTACATTGTTTTTGAAAATATTCTATATGTCCCAACCCTCCTTTAACTAGCTAATATTTTTATATGTCAGTTTTGCAAAAAGTTGGTTCATCAGTGATCTGTAATTTTTTTTTACTATTTCTGGAATTGTTTGGGATCATCAGTGGCAAAGAAAGCATTCCAACAACAGCAAGCCCACTTAGCGAGTGGTCAGTACTCTTATAATAACAAAGGGAGTTGTAACTACAGTTTTCTGTCAGAAGCAACTTGTCTGATTATCATAGAGTTTAAGACTTATAAGCGTTGGCCTTTATAAAATTATAATTACTTATATGTGTGTTAATTAAGATCAGAAATTTGTCCATATTAGCATAATAGTAGTGACTCTGCAAGCACTCCCAGGGCTAAGGATGAAAGTGGGTTGCAATGTCACATGGCCTGTAAGCTCAATTAGTAAAGTATTTGAAGGGCAGCCTTACTGATGGCAATGCATGATATGATCAGTTTTTCTGCAGCCTTCCTAAGGGAACAGCCGATTCCAGAGCTCTGATTGTTTCAACATAAGGCAAAGTCTGACCATACGGTACCAATAATGGCTCCAAAAGAAAACTGAGGGTCATACAGCTATTGCTTACAAGAATCGATATGTGAAACTCCAAGTGGGCCCGGCGTGATGGCATAGTGGTTAAGATCCTTGCCTTGCACGTGCCGGGATCCCAGGTGGGCACTTTTTTCTTAAAGTAAGAACAACAAGAGTAATGCCTGTGGATATGTGGGCCAGTGTGTTAAGCTTATGCTTGCAATGCCAGCATCTGTGTGTCCGAGTGCTGCTTTGGATTTCAGCTTCTGTGCTTTCAATCCTGCTTGTGGCAATGTGCTCAGGAAAGCAGTAGGACCTAGGCTTAGAAAGCTCGGGACCTTGCCAAAACACCTCTATCTGATTGTTAAAGAATTTGAGGAGGACAGAAAAGAATAACTTTAGGAGGTTTTGTAAGAATAGAAGTTCTGGGGCCCGGCACGATGGTGCAGTGGTTAAGGTCCTCGCCTTGCACGCCCTGGGATCCCATATGGGCGCCGGTTCTAGTCCCAGCAGCCCCGCTTCCCATCCAGCTCCCTGTCTGTGGCCCGGGAAAGCAGTCGAGGACGGCCCAAAGCTTTGGGACCCTGCACCCATGTGGGAGACCTGGAAAGAGGCTCCTGACTTCAGATCGGCATAGCATCGGCCATTGCGCTCACTTGGGGAGTGAATCATTGGATGGAAGATCTTCCTCTCTGTCTCTCCTCTCTGTATATCTGCCTTTCCAATAAAAATAAAATAAATCTTAAAAAAAAAAAGAATAGAAGTTCTGAGGAAAATATATTTACTTGAGAATAACTATATATATAAAGAATTCACAGAAAGAATAGTATTATGATATAGTTGGAACTGTCTATGTGTTTTCCAAACTCATACTGAAATTCTAACCTGTGAGGTGATGGTATTAGGAGGTGAGATCTCTTGGAAGGTGATCGGTTCTTACAGGTGGAACCCTTGTGAATGGGGTCAGTGTCCTTAAGAAACAGGTCTATTCTGCCTCTACTGCGTGAAGACAGACAATGAGCCTCGATTCCTGACGGCTGGTATCCAGAAGGTAAGCAGTACAGTTCTTCTGTTTAGAAGCTACTCACTGTATGCTGTCTGGGGTAGGCAGCAATCTCAATGGATTAAGATAGATTGTTTAAATTGCTAACAGTCTTGGCTACAGGTTAAGACTTCATTTTGAGGTGTGAGTGTGGTGGTGGGGAGAGGAAGCCTATAAGTTGTACAAATTGTTGCTAAAATTCAGGTTTTTCTTTTTTGGTTAAAAATGATGAAAATATTTTATGTCCAGATAACAAAGGTTGTTTGGATAGCCAGAACATTCTGTTAACTCTCTGGGCTTAGGGCATGTTTTCAGACCATTTTGGGGCTTGTTCAGGAAGCATTTTATAGTTGCTCAAAATTTAAAAATGTTCGTTGACGTCAGAAAAATCAGGGCTCTCAGATAATTCTCCTGCATTGTCCTGTTTAGCTTCTGAGTTTTGGTTTTTGCAGACACATCAGCAAATTTCTCTCCAAAGTGACTATCCATGATTGATAATCTTAATGTCCAATTTCACATCAGGTATGTTTTTAATTTTCAGTGAGTGGCTTTCTCTAAAAGAAATGCAGTGGTTGTACTTCTCCTCAGTGGATGCTCATGGAAGAAATGGCAAAAATAACTCCTAGGTATTGCATCATGGACCATTTTCAGCAAACTGATGAGACTGGACTTGAAGGAAGAATAATCTTTTTTCTGCTATGTCATTAGAGCTTCCACTTTAATGGCATGCTTCATATATAAATTCAGAATAGACATAGCCCATTTGGGTTCCTTAAGGAATTTCACAACTCGCAGCAATTCCTTTTCTACCTGTTTCAGGTTATGCTGTTTAGATACATTCAGGAAAGCACAGTGGCATAGAGACCTTCAACACCACATATGTGAACAGGTGGCCTCAAAAGCTTGGCAGATGTGTTGAGCACCACACTTGCTGGGATAGTTCAGGCACTCCAAGTGTGGGCAGGGGGCATCTTCCAGGTGGCTGTCTCTTAGACTACTTTAAACAGAAGTTTCTCATATTCATGGTTTCTTATTGCTAATTTAAAGATACTGCCTATAAGTATTTCCTGTCTTTACTTACAAAATATTAATATCTGGTCGCCTCTGACAATACCTTTTGATTTTGCCTTTCCCAAATTCAGAATAATAAAGCTGTTCGGGTGATTTTTTTTAAAACTCTATATATTTTTCAACTATATTTGTTTCCTGAATGGCTACTATGATTTGTTCCCTTCTCCTTATAAGAGAAAGAATGCTAAAATATTTGACATATTTCCATAATGCAGATTTGCAACTTTAGAATCACAGCTGTGAGGTTTCATGCACACTTCGATAATCACGCTGTTTGTGTTTGTACGGCCGTGGATGAATGTGTAATCTCCGGTGTCCTGAGTGTTGGTGCAAATCTGCCATTAAGCTGTACAGCTCAACAGATTTTGACAAAATAAAGAAAATATGAAGATACAATATTTGTAGAGATCAAAACAGCTAGAGAAAAATTAATAAATATCAAAACATAAAAATGATACAAATCTAGATTGATCATATCTCCAGAAGACTATGGCATAACTTAGACTGAAAAATGGCCAAAATTAGAAGTGAGAAATGAAACTTGAAGTTACAAATTGCAAAATTATCACTTGGAAACAGATAAACTGCCAAACTATGACATGGAACACAAACTATCTTAACTTAAATTGTTTTAACACTAGCTCCTTCAGACCATATGTTTTAAGAGAAGAGCACAACACAGCATCTCCATACAGACTTGGCCATTTGCCTAGCTTTTTTTTTTTTTTTTCTTTTTGTCATGTCTGTAGGTCAGTAGCAAACATTTACAGAGATTTTCTTTCTTAAATACCTTTCATGCCTTTTCTCTGCTCTGTCTTACTCAGAGTTATCTCCCGGTTTGCAGGCATGTGGGGAGTAAGTCAGCAGATGGAAGCTCTTTCTCTGCCTGCTTCTCTGTGGTGTTTTGTTTTTCTGCCTCTCAAAAAAATTTAAAAAAGCATCATTTCATGCAGTTGTACTTTTCTAGAACTTTATATTAATAAGCCATCGTTATTTATTTTTCCCCTCACTTTTATATATGTGTATTTTTTTTTTTAGAAATTATTTATTTATTTGAAAGGTAGAGTTAGAAAGAGAGAGAGGGAATCTTCCATCCATTTGTTCACTTTGCAAACGGTCGCAATGGCCAGACTGGGCTAAGCTGAAACCAGAAGACAGAAGCTTCTTTGGGTCTTCCACATAGTTGGCATGAGCCCAAACAAGTGGGCCCATCTTTTGCTGTTTTCTCAGGCCCAACAGCAGGGTTCTAGATGGGAAGCCCAGGAGCTGGGACTCAAAC